TCGCACGGAGGCCCAGCTAATTGTAACAAAATCAAAGAAAAAGGATCTACCAAAATCTCCATATATTTCATACACGATTTATTTCAAATTTTCACATTTACTTCCTGTTAAAAATGCCATATATGCAATTTTCGTTCTATATGAAAAGCTTGCTTATTCGTAAACACCTTTCTTTCATCATTTCCGAATTCAGAACATTTTACAGTTTGGTAACATTCTTCGTACTAGTTTCTTTCTTATTCACTTTCCTACTTTACGTTATTTCCAACGTTTAATTTGCATCTAAAAGTTGTTCCATTGTATTTGTTAAAAACAGGTATTTACGTTTTTTTTCACAGAACATGTGCTATATGTATTACAATAGAACATCCTTTGAGAAATAAAAACAAAAGCAACACATTTTTGGAAAGTAATAGAACAAATAGTTCTTCTTTGCAAAAAAAAAAAAAATATTTACATGAATGTATTTTTCTTATATTTAAATACTTTTGAAGACAATTCGTCAAGTATGTTCGCATTTGTTTCGAAACAGTTTTGGCATGAAGTACATACGAGTAGTATAATTACATTCAATTGTACAGAAATAGAACAATGGAAATTGGTTATTCGAGCATGAAGAAATGAATTTGAAATGTATGCGCTTTACTGTGAAATTTATAGGATTTGAATGCAGACATGTAAACGTTGTTTTCGTCACTTGGGGTTTGGTGTCTGTATGAAATTATCAAAAGTAGTAGGATCTTTGGAAATATATACTTAAATGTCAATAAAATCGGAGAACATTCGATTGGGGAAAAACGAAATCCATTATTTTTTCGTCGAAAATGTCTATAAAATCGGAGAAATGATCGCAGTTAACCGGCATAAAACTGTTTTAAACCATTTACAATTGAGCAGAAACGGCCAGAATTGACCAACAGGAGAGGTGTCGTGTTCCACCAGGACATCGCTAGGCCACACACATCTGCAGTGATTCGCCAGAAACTTTGGGAGCTTGGTTGGGAAGTTTAAATGCATTCGCCATACAGTCCGGACTTGGTATCAAGCGATTATTATCTCGCATTGCAAATTTCTTTAATGATAAAAATTGGCATCTAAGGAGGATTGTGAAAATCGACTACTAGAATTTTTTGCAAATTGGAATTATGAAGTTACCTTTAAAATGGCAACAAATCATAAAAAAAGTTGCATATTTGGCCAAATCAAACATTTACGATTTTGGTGTAAAATCAGCCAGAAGATTGCAAAAAGCCACAAATGCATCCATTTGAGGTGCAGTAAGATAATAAAATAATCTTCAAACATTATATTATATGAATTGTCATATCGAATCAAATAAAGATTTTATGCAGCTAGCCTATGCTCCGTGAACCTGAAGCTCACAATTTTTCAGTCGTCTATAAAGACTCCTTTCGTCTTTGAAAGACTCGCTGACACTTTAGTTCGACTATAAAAGATTCCCTGGTCCTTCAGCGTCTATATTAAAGAATTTCATATTTTTAAGCTTATCTGTGAAAGACAACCTCACCATACCACTTGCCTGTGACAAATTTCCTATACTCCCTGCCCTCGCAATTAATGGTTTTTGGGTCGTTCAAAAAACGTCTTCGCTTTTCTGCAGTTCGACTATGAAAGGTTCTTTAACATGCCTTTGAAAGACTTCCTTCAGCTGTTTTATGAATGATCCTGACCCTTCAAACCCATATATGAAATGTAACTTGATACAATAGCACGCCTATAAAGCCTCACTGACCTATCTGATCTGTTCTATAAAGATTTTCAGGCCCTTCGGCTATAAAAGACTCCCTGGCTCTTTAGTTCGTCCACAAAAACTCATAAACCTTTTAGATTGTCTATGAAAGACGTCTTGCTACTTCAGCTCTGCAATGAATGAATCCTGACCATTCACCTAATTCTGCACTTTCAAAATTAGGCGAAACCAAAAAGAGTAAATTAATTATTTTGGATGAATAATATGTGTTATTAATCATTTTATTGTGAAAAACCGGTAAGGAAAGTAGTAAAGTCGGACGGGGCCGACTATATGATACCCTTCACCACTATGGGTATATTAAACAGGACTATTAACATGAAATTGGATGAAATAAAATATGTGATATTTATCTAAATGTGAATCTACCTAGATCTATCCATAAAGTATGTAAATCGACTTCAAACAAATATAAATAGGTCATCCATTGGGCTATGTCTGTACTTCTAGAAAACGCAACTACGTAATTCTATGCTCAATTTTGTACGTTGTGCAAAATTTGATGTCAATCTGAGGAGTTTGATGCCCAATGAGGAGGAGTTTGATGCCCAATGAGGAGGAGTTTGATGCCCAATGAGGAGGAGTTTGATGCCCAATTTACTTGAAATCGGGCGAAAATATATATGGAATCTCTATCCAAATATTAAGCGATTTCAAACAAACTTGTCACAGGTTAGGCTATACTAATTTTCAGAACGTTTTGTTCCTATTGGTTCCTTGGTGCGTCAATTACTTAAAATCAATCTATAATAAAAGGAAGCTATATCTAAATCTGGACCGATTTTCACGAAACAAGGCAGACGTCACTCTAGGCTCAATTCAGTACGTTATGCCAAATTTCGTGCAAATCGAAAGATATATAGGGACTTTGGTGCACCATTTACATGAAATCGGACGAAAGTATATATGGGAGCTATATCTAAATCTGGGCAGATTTTCTCGAAACTTGGCAGACATCACTCTAGGCTTAATTCAATACATTATGCCAAATTTCGTGCAAATCGAAAGATATATAAAGACTTTGGGGCACCATTTACATGAAATCGGACGAAACTATATATGGGAGGTATATCTAAATCTGGACCGATTTTCAGGAAACTTGGCAGACATCATTCTAGACCTAAATGATTAGGCTGTACCAAATTTCGTGCAAATCGAAAGATATATAGGCACCGTTTACATTAAATCGGTTAAATATATATATGGGAGCTATATCTAAATCTGAACCGATTTTCCCAATTTCAATAGGGTTCGTCCTTGGGCCGAATAAGTGACCTATGCCAAATTTCATCCAATTAGGATCATAAATGCGACCTGTACTTTGTTTACAATTTAACATGGACAGACAGACGGACGGACGGACGGACATGCATAAATCGGTTTAGAAAGTGATTCTATGCATATTCTCAAAAGGAACCATGTGTCTATCTCGTTTCCTTTTGCCTGTTACAAACATATGCACAAAGACATAATACCCTGTACCACAGTGTGGTGAAGGGTATAATAACGAAGTGGGTCCATTATAGCTATGCTACGCAGTTTATAAATTATATAACTTTGGGTCTTTGGTGTACCTTTTACTTAAAATCTGACTAAACTATATATAGGAACTATATCTAAATCTGAACCGATTTCAACAAAACTTGCTACACGTTATCTCATAATAACTTCAATAAGTTGTGCAAAATTTTGTGCCAATCGGACCCACCTGGGGAGTCCGGTGCAGCATTTATATCTAACTTCTAGGTTATACTAAGTTCAGTACGAAAGATATATGTGGACTTTTTTTATATTTAATCAGATGAAAATATATATGGGAGCTATATTTAAATCTGAACCGATTTTCAGGAAATTTAACATATATCATTTTAGATCTAATTCATTACGCTATGACAAATTTCGTGCAAATCGAAAGATATATAGGGACTTTGGTACACCATTTACCTTAAATCGGACGAAAATATATATGGGAGCAATATCTAAATCTGAACCGACTTTTCCCAATTTCAATAGGGTTCGTCCTTGGATCGAATAAGTGACCTATGCCAAATTTCATCCAATTTCAATCAAATGCGACCTGTACTTTTTTTACAATTTAACATCGACAGCAAGACAGACGGATGGACGGACATGCATAAATCGACTCAGAAAGTGATTCCATGCATATTCTCAAAAGGAACAATGGGTCTATCTCGTTTCCTTTTGCCTGTTACAAACATATGCACAAAGACATAATACCCTGTACCATAGTGTGGTGAAGGGTATAATAAGGAAGATTGGCTTTATCCAAGTTCATATGATAGCTCTTATAGAAACGTGTATAAATTTGGAACCGATTAGTTTTAGTTTTTGAGTTATCGTGCCCGCCATTCGTAAAAACACTGCTTCGAGAAAAATGCGTTTAAAGTTTGAGAATCACTCTTGCCGCCACTTGATGCTGACACTTTTATAAAAAAACTACCTGACTCTTCAGTTCGTCTATGAATCGGGTCGTCTTTTTTCTCATATTAAAATATCAATTACCTTATAGATTAAATACTTAAGATTACCAGGAGAATTGTAGGGCAGAAAAACAATTATACCAAAATTGGAAAGATGAGCAAGCTTTTCAGCAAAATTGGGTTACAAAAAAATTAAATAAAAAGAATATTGGGTTATTTTTCAGAGGAGGCCCCATAGTCATCATAGGATGCTTTACATTGAATGCTTCAGCAGAGAAAGAGGCAAAACTGATTTAATATACGGCGAAATTTTAATATCATTTGAGTATTTAATTGGATCTTATACAAGTATACAACCGAATTATGTCGCCTATCGACAAATCTCACGCTAAATTGAATGTCTCTGCCAAAACTGGCAACGAATTGTAGAGGATAGAACAGTTCGAAGATATTTAAAGATCTTTTCTAAACAACTCTAGTAATTCACCCATAAATTATCAGTCTGAATTTTTACGATTGTTAGGTTATTTTTGTGGAAGAACATAGAAGTCCATTGAAACCAAGCCTTGGTTCAAAATTGCTACCACTCGAAAAATCGTCTAACTTTATAGGACTCTTGCGGTATCCCACCAGAAATTAATACACATGTAATACAACACCCCTGTCGTCAGTAATTACACCAACGTCATTTACTTACGTTTAGTGAAGTTAACTGACCTTTATAAATAACATTAAACAACATCATAAAAATAAAATTAAATGCACCCACACATCGATTGAAAATAACCTTACCTGGCAGCACCATTTTGTAAAATCACATTTCCACTGTGCAAATGACCGTGTAGCGGGAAGCCACGCTCTTTTAGAAACAGCAGTGCCTCCAAGATTTGACGACCCAAACGTTGGACTTGCGTGACTGGTAGGCCATTTGGTTTTCGTGTATATTTACGTGACCATGGTTCGTTCCATTGGGCCTAGAAGTAGAGAAATGGACAAAATGAAATTCAAAATTAAATGAAAGTTTAAAACAAAGTTGCACATTCATGCATTTTTATTTTACATTGGTTAAAAGCATTTTATTAAGTTCATTGCATACGCACACACACCATACATTTATATTTGTATCGTATGTTGGTCATAAATGTAAATAAAAATGCATTTGTGGTGCGGTGTTTTTGTAGTTGTTTGACAATTATTTTTTCTTTTAATTTTTATAATTGCTCGTGTAGATTATATATCATTTTATGTATTTTTATTGTAGGCAGTGGCCATTAAAACTTTAATCGTCCCCAGTGTAATGTTAAAGAATTTGACCTTGCTGCTGTGTCCGTGATAGTGGGGCTATTTAATTAACCAATGTTGTTAAATGTTATTCTAATCGTTAATGGAAATCTGTATTACAGTTGTGTATTGTTGTTGTTGCGTTCAAAACTAATTGCTGTGATGATATACTGGAGACAGTTACACTTTAAAATATCCTGCAGCAGGTCCTGTATATAGATTCTATTTTTCAGCTACAGAGAACCCTGTCCTTTACCTCGTCGAAAATAACTGCCAATTCTTGTAGATCGCTCCCTTCCGCTTGCCTACAGTGACTCACTTCTGCTCGTCTAAAAAGACTCTATTCTGCTCGTCTATAAAGACTCATTTCAGCTCGTATATGGAGGCTTTCTTCAACTCCAACCTATAGAGACTACATTCTGCTCGTCTATAAAGAATTCCTTCAGCTCGACTATAGATACTTCCTTCCGCCCGACTATGAAGACCCCCCTTCAGTTCGTCTATGAAGACTCCCTTATGCTCACCGATTGACTCCCTTAAATTCGTCTTTAAAGAATCCATGACGCTCGTCTACAGAGACTTCATTCCGCTCATCTAAAGAGACTCCCTTCTGCTCATCTATAGAGATTATCTTTTGCTCGTCTGTAGAGACTCCCTTCGGCTCGTATGTAGAGGCTTCCTTCAAGTCCAATCTATTGAGACTCTTTCCTCTCTATAGAGACTCCCTTCTACTCGTCTGTAGAGGCTTCCTTCAACTTAGCGATTGAGACTCCCCTCCGCAAGTCTACATAGACTCCTATCCTTCTGCTCTTCTATAGAGACTATTTCGGGTCGTCCATAGAGATTCCCTCACGCTCGTCTACTATGAACTCTTCGCTTGGCTACAAATACACCCTGCCTTAACTTGTATATGAAAGTCTCCCTGCTTCAGTTCATATACAGAATACTCCTGCTTCGTTCGTTTATACAAGAATCATCAGTCCTTTTTTGAACGACTCCCTGATCAGCTTGTGACTTTTTTATAAAAACCCTCGGATAATTCAAATTGTATATGAAAGACTCGCCGACCCTTCAGCTCATCTATGAAAGAATCTCTGAATCTTCAGTTCGCCTCTGAGGTTTCTGCTCCTGACCCATCAGTTCGTCTAAAAAAACACTGACAATTTAGCTGGTTTACGAAAGACTCCCTGAACCTTCACCAAATCTGTTATAAACTCCTCGACCCTTCAGCTCGTCTTTGAAAGACAACCTGGCCCAGTTTGTGTATGATAGACTCCCTGAACCTGCAGCTCGTCTATAAAGTAGTCTCTAGCCTTCTATGCCGCCTATGAAAGGATCTCTGACTCTTCAGTTTCGTCTACGAAATACTCCCTGAACCTTCACCAAATCTGTTATAAACTCCTCGACCCTTCAGCTCGTCTTTGAAAGACAACCTGGCCCAGCTTATGTATGATAGACTTCCTGAACCTGCAGCTATAAGTAGCCTCTAACCTTCTAACCCGCCTATGAAAGACTCTCTGACCCTTCAGTCTCGTCTATGAAATAATCCCTGGCCCTTTAGCAAGTCTATAAACATTTCTGCTTATCAATGCCGACAATCAGCTGTGTATCAAAGACTCCCAGAACCTTTAGCTCGCTTCCGAGGCCTAATTGCATTTGCGAAATACTCCTTGAGACTTCTACTCGTTTCTGAAGACTCCCTGAACCTTAAGTTTTTCTATGAAAGACTCCCTCACACTTCAGCTCGTCTATGAAGGAATTCCAGAATCTTTAGCTCGCCTTTGAGGCTTCAGCTCATCTGCGAGTGACTTCTTGACCCTTCGACTGCTGATTATCTATGCAGACACTCTGACCTTTCCGCTCTCATTCCTGAACCTTCAGCTTCTTAAAAGCCGCATAAACCTTTTGCCTCTGAAGCTTTTTACGCTTCAGCATTTCGGCCACAGTGCGACGATTTGTTTATAAAACTCTTGGATAATTCAAATTGTCCTTTCAGCTCGTCCGTGAAGAATTCGTCGACGACCCTTGCCAGAAATACTCATCGGTGTTCAGTAAGAATAACGACTTCTTTATATTCGCCTTTGAGGTTTCAGCTCCTGACCCTTCAGCTTGCTTATGAAAGTGTCCCTGAATCTGCAGCTAGTCTGTGAATGACTTCTTGACGCTTCGAATTGATTACGAAAGACTCCCTGACCCTTCAGCTCGCATCAGAGGCTTCTGCTAGTCTGTGAAAGACTTCTTGGGCCTTTGATTCATTTATGAAATGGTCAGGGAGACTTCTTCACTATGCCTATGAACCTCCCTGATAGTCTATGAAAGATTACCTTGTCTTTGTAAGTTTCCTTACCCTTCCTCTCATCTATGAAAGATTTAGTGATTTTTCAGTTCGTCTATGAAAACTTCCTGGGTCTTGAGATCGCCATAAATATTTCGGGACCGTTCAATTCGTTCATAAATAAAAGTCTACTTAAGCCTTCATCTCGTTTTTGTAAATCTACCTGACACTTCAGTTAGTCTATGACGCAGGTAGTCTTCTGGTTCATTTCGTTTCAGAAATACTACCTATTTCGGCTCGTTTATGAAAGTATTATTTGTCCTCATGATGTTTCCGTCGCTTGACAGTCTCTGATACATCTTTTAATTTTCTCCCTCGTATGTAAAAGTATGATATACACTTACCTTATAGATTAAATCCTTAAGACTACCACGGGAATTGAAGGGCGTTACCAAACAGGCGAAATTTCCCGAACTGATATGAAGAAAGCCCAAATCGAGCACTGGATAGATATAGGGATGATGCAGAGAACCCAATAATTCCATTAGAATACCCTTTGGACTTTCATTGGGTGAGAGATCTTCGAAGGCAACACAATCCGGAGGCAGGGTTAACATGGTCATAAGGCGATCAGTGCGGACCTAAATAAAAAACACAAATTTTTAATGATTCGTAATAAATTCTGAATAGCTCAACACTTACCGAAGAATCAGTTACGAGGAACCAATTTTTCCCATGCCTCGAACCGATCTCATCCAAATGGGCAATTACCTCATAACGACCATTCGATTGTTGTACCCATTCTTGGGTGGCATTGAGCGCCTTTTCTCGCTGAGCCCGCTCACGGGGCGAACGTTCAACGACACCATTGCCACTATCTAAGGCTGAGTATTGATATTTGATATTGGGTCTGTAATGGTGCAGGGGGATGAGGGATGAAAATAAAACAACACTTCATTAGCAAGGGGTGTTCGGAATAATATCAAGATGTTTTTATACGTCTCGTTTATTGGTTAACTAAAATTAAATTAATTACTTGAACTTAACTAATTAACATTAACTAGTTTACTTATAGGATAGGTAATTAACTAAAAGTTAAGTATTAGAAATTACAATAAAGGTTAGTTGTTAGTTAGGGAAATTAGCTCATAATTGTATATATTTTGGGTTAGTACAACGGTTAGTTAAATTTCTGAAAATTCTAGCAATAATAAATGGTTAGTATGATGACGTCATAGAATACACTAACTAATTTATAATACACACATATTTCGGGAAGACATTATGACATAATTAAAGTTGGTAGTATTATTGTAGAAATGCTATTTGACATTTTAAAGTTAAGTGATATAAAGTTTTCAATGTTGTCCTTAAGGATCTATATACGTGACATATAACATGAAGATGACATGTGAGTGAGCGTCACGAGCTCTAATTTCTATAAAATAGCTAAACAAAGAATGTGGATTAAAGTTTCTTGAAGTTTCATTTTGTAATTTTTATACCCTACACAACTATGTTGTCAGGGTATTTTAGCTATGTGCAGCCCCAAGAGTTTGTAACGCCGCGAAATATTGGTCCTAGACCAGGGATGCACGTCCTTGCACTCTAGCGGTCAGCTCAACTCACACGGATTCTTACGCTCATTTGTTTAGTCGCCGTTGAGACTTCAACGAGTAAACATGTCTATGGTGGTGCGAATCATTTTTGCGGCTACTCTTAAGCGGCCCATACACGTCAAATATGTACGTTTGATCGGTGTGAAGCTCCTAGGCCACAAACACATCAACAAAACTTCATTTCGAATTTGGTTTTTGAAGATGGACAGCGATAGGGACGACGTAAAAAAGACCAAACTTTTTTATTTAATTAATTTCTTTTAATTTCATTCACACCGATGGAACGCACATGTTTAACGTGTGTGGGCCGCTTTAGCTTTGTGTACTAGTCTCACACATACATATACAAATTGTCATCCTCTCACCGTGTGCATCACTGTCCTAGACCCACCTTTAACTATACCGATCGTCATATCTCGACTAGCTGAGTCGATCTAGACATGTGTGTAGTTTCGTCCGTCCGTCTGTCCATTATAATTTGTAAACACGTTACAGGTCAAAGTTAGGGACCAATCTTCATTTGCATGTAGAATGAGTTTGGCCCAATGAAGACCCCTATTGTTTTTGGAAAAGATTGATTAATATTTAGGGGATGAAATTGACCAAAAACTTTATTTTCGTCGGTTTTTCTGGTCGCTCCAGAGGCAGCAATTATGGCCCAAAAATCACGAATTGTTACATGGTGAAGGGGGGCGGGCCAAAGAATAAGCATGTCTGTTTTGATAAAGATGATTTTTGTGTGAAAAATGACAAAATTTGTATTCTATGGCGTATATATTCACTCTTGAAGGACATAGACCCGAGAAGTTGATAGCATATCCAAGAGGTGTGGATGACCTTTAAATGGATACCAATTACACTGTCGTATGTGCTTGGATGTGGGAGTTACACGTAAATATTTACAGGTGCTTACGTGTTCAGATATTATTTAGTAACCCATTACCACTCTGGAGGACGAAAATATATCGCTGATAGCTTTGAAATGTTTCATGAAGTTCCAGTTATGGTCAAGGACAACGCCTATAATATTCGGTGATGATGGGATAATAATTTTGGGATGAAGTGGACCGAAACCTTTTTTTGTATTTTTTCGAGTCGATCTATAGGCCACAATTATAAACCGAACATCACAACACAACCCACTCTGAAGGGAATCTGGACAAGTAATTAGAAGGTCTGTACTGATTATTAGTAATATTCGGAAAATATGTCAGTGTATGGAAGAGGTGCTTCTGACCTCTACTCGGGCAAGAGAGTGCAACTATCATGAAATATTGCCCAGGTTCGGAATAAAAATCCACAGGAAATTAAGGTTCGTGGTAGTTGTGTAGAATATCGTATGGTCGGTTCCGTCCGACTATACTGGTCCGCTCACTGGTTTTATATATGTATGCCAGAGCATAGAAATACTTGCTCGGATCAGAACAGAGATTGGAAGTTATTATATTAAAAACATGGTTGATCCCTTAACTCCTATGAACTCTCTTCTCATGAAAGACCCCCCGGACCCTTCAAGTCATCTAATGATTTTAGGACGATACAAATGGTGCGGGTCTTTTGCAGAAGGATTGTTTGAGGGTAATCAGTTTTAGATACATATAAGAGACCTAGAAGGAATTATGCCAATATAAAACCTTTGGGATATTTTTCAAAAAAAAAAAAAAAAAAAAACGGTCATTGTATCACCAAACATTGATCGTCACAGAGGGTGAATCTATGCGTATGAGACCTAAACAGGTAGTAAATCGGTCGTGTCGATTTTCGAAGATGAGACACAGCTATGAAAGTTGTTGGCGAAAGAAGTATTTCGAAGTAATTGGTCATATTTCGGTAAACTTGTAGTCTGACCTCAGTGCTGATTGAATATTATATATCGTTGGTGTTATGACTGAGTGGTACTGCACAATTTGTATGTGTGTGTAGTCTTGGGATAAATTCGAATTTGCGCATTATGACAATTCCAGCTTTCATTCATCAGCTCAAATCGTAAAGTTCGGCCGTGTTAAACTTTGTATACCAATTCAACATGTGATGTGCATTCAAAATGTTTAAAAAAATTTTGGGATCCTTATATGGAGACGATGTCATTGCAAAATGTCTGCAAACACTGGGAAGATACAATACCAAAATACTGCGACGGTGGAAGTCGCCATCTTGTTTCCGCGCACACAACCAGGTCTGATTTTAGTACCCACATTGATTTGTAAGTCTCGTATGTGCTTGTTCCCGCCTTGTCCAGTTGCCCTCTTTCCCGTTACAAAGCATCGATAATGCATGAAGCTCTGTGTGTAGATAAAAGGTAACAACCAAATTGCATAGGCAAGGTTATGGAATGCAGGAGCACCAAAAAACACAGACAGTGGTATGAAATGCGTGGTAAACAAGAAGCAACAACATGTGTATTAGTATTTAGGCAGTGCGAATGTTAACAACAATTTGCCTGGTTGGAGTATGCCTAACAGGACTATTGCTGTCGACAGTAGCCCTACTTAGGGACATTCGTATAAAAGGGAGTTGTGATGATAGAAAGGGGATGTTACTAAGGAATGGAAAATCCTTAGAGATTGTCAGTTTGGATTTCGAGAAAAACATTCGACAACCCACTTACTGGCAGCATTCTCTACATATACCACCGAAGGCTTCAAACTGAAGGAAGGAATCGTTGCTATTGGTCTGGACTTTGCCAAAACTTTTGACACAGTATGTCGGCACGGTATTCTTTATAAGATACAATCGCTCGGATTCGATCAACAATTTTGTCGCAAGTTTTCTCAAGGATGGAGTTTTTTGTGTGAGAGTAGAAGATAAGATGTCTGAACAGCGAACGGTCAAAGCAGGGATGCCACAGGGATCACCAATGGGACCGGTTCTATACAACCTACTCGTATGCGTATACCAGAGCCGCCTGAAAGAGGGCTGTTATTAACATACGCTGATAATGTATTATTTGTTCTACGAGGCCGAAAATTCTTAAAGATTTCTACATATACCACTGAAGGCTTCAAACTGAAGCAAGGAACCAATGCTATTGGTCGGGACTATGATAAAGTTTTTGACACAGTATGACTCCACGGTATTGTTTATAAGATGCAATTGCTCGGATTCGATCAACAATCTTTTTCGCATGGTAACAAGTTTTCTCAAGGATCGAGTATTTCGTTTGAGAGTAGAAGATAAGTTCATATGCGACATACCACAGCCGCCTGGCAGAGGACTGCTATTAGCATACGCTGATTATGTATTCTTTGCTCTACGAGGCCGTTTTGGAAGCACTGTGGAAAGAAGATTGAAACCCAAGTCTACTGCGAAGAGCTTCCAAAAATACATTCCAACTATAAAGGTTGGAAATGAATTCATAAGAGTGTCAGACAGGATGAAATACCTTGCCCGAAAGGTTCGACTTCTGTCGCACTGCGTATTATGTGCTTTCAAAGGCCAAAAATTTGAACTTTGACTATCAAAACCACTTTCGAATGCAAGGAAGACTTTCGGAGGTAAAGACATACCGCGTTTGAAGCGTCAGTCCAAGTAGATTTTTACCATGTACCAATACACGCCACGCGAGCGCTCTGAAATAGTTGAAATTTACATTCAACAGAAGAAGTCAATTGTGAAAACTCAACGTGCTTTTAAAACATTAAAAAATGTGAGAAGTGCGCCTTCTAAGAACACCAATAAGCGTTTATAGGCCATATAAAAGTCGACCAAGGGGATCGGCCGAGAATATCGCTGCCGTACGAGCCAGTGTTTAGAGGTCCCAGAGAGCATCCCAAAAACGCCGTTCTCAGCAGTTGGGCATGACTCGGTCCTCTTTACAAAGGATTATTCGTATTGATTTACATTTGTTCCCGTACAAAATTCAATTGACGCAAAGAATGTTGCCTGCGGACAAGCCTCGTCGATTGGAATGGGCCCAAAGAGTCATGACGAACAATTTTGGAACAAAAATATCATGTCCGATGAAGCCCATTTCACATTGAATGGGACCGTAAATAAGCAAAATTGCCGTTTTACGCCACTGAAAATTCTCAGGAGATTCAAGAAGTGCCTCCTCATGACGAAAAAGTCACAGTTTGGTGCGGCGTTATTGCGAAAACGGTCATTGGGCCGTTTTTCTTCCAACATGAAAATGGCATGCTGTTACCATCAATTAGGAGCGTTATCGCGACATGATGACCAATTTTGTGATGTCAATTATTCGTCAAAAGCGTTTGAGGCAGTTTTGGTTTCAACAAGACGGCGCTCCACAGCACACACGTCGTTTGATGTCGGGCCGTTTGATGTCGAAAAGTGGTGATTTGGACTGGCCACCGCGTTCGCCCGATTTGGCGCC